GACAGAAAACAGCATAGCATGCAACAATCATAAATTATCCTTACCTTGATAATAAAGACGATGTCCGCTGGCACTCTGTTCTCGTTGTGATCCCCTTCACGCGGGAAGGTAACTTTCGTACCGGCCTTCCAACCCGGTTTAACGGTAACCGTTAGCAGTTTGTCTTCGGTTCTCATCTTGGCACCGCCTTCACCGCTTGGCACTTTGCGCGTAATCTTCATCTTCTTTACGCATCCCTTATAGATGTCCTCCAGTGAGATGTACAAATCGTACACGACTGGAGGATCAACCTTGCGTGTGGGTCGACCCATGTCACTAAAGCCGCCCATACCATGATGTCCTCCAAACCCAAACATATCGTCGAAGTCCATTTCCTCGTCTCCGCCAACCACGATGCGAGTACCGCTGCCAGGACCCGCGGCGAAGAACCTCGCAAAACCATTCGGGCCCTCGAACAACTGGTGAAACATCTTCATGGGATCCTCGGCAAACGTGTAATGGAAGCCACCCATTGGACCTCCGCCGCCAATATCGCCTCCTTTCAGACCTTCCTCTCCATACTGATCATATATTTCACGCTTTTTAGGGTCACTAAGAACATCATACGCTTCTGCCACCTCTTTAAACTTCTCCTCAGCATCGGGACTCTTATTCTTATCTGGATGATATTTTAAGGCCATCTTCCTATAAGCCTTCTTAATATCATCTTCATTAGCCCCCTTTGTAAGACCCAAAATCTTATAATAATCCTTTCCCATTATCAGTAATAACGCGCGAATTTATACCCGCTTAAATCTACGGACAAAGTACCACAGAACGCACAACCTCAGTGTAAACTACAAACAATACGCAGCAACCGGGATGCCGAATTTTCGAGAATATTCTAGAATATTCTGCAAACGCGTAGGTTAGTTTGTCATAAAAATTGACAATACGTTCGCTTATTTATTTGTACCAAAACTGAAGTCAGTGCTTGAACACTTCAACCAACCAACAAATCATCTACGGCTGAAAAAGACACTTATAAATAGCAAAGACAACGAATATATAAATTTCCAATAAAATTCATTTGGATATTTATAATTATAATTTGTGCATAAAATTTTATACTAAGTCACAATTTAACTTGCTGTTTACGCCAATATCATCTACGTATGCTGCAATGCAGCGACATATTAGAACGAAGAATTCCAAAAAATATAAAAATCTGTTAAATGCAGCAATACTGCACAATGTCGCTGCAGATTAATCCTGCCCGCGTAAGCATAAGAAAGAGCAGCGCAGATGCAATATGAATTTATTCGTTCAGATCATCACCTTAAGTTATTTGCTTCAACAGAATGTTTCGGCTGTATAATGTCAGCTGTGTCTGCAGCTTTTTGACAGCTGCTATTAGGTGCCGGTTATTGCATCACAGGAAATTACCCTCCTCTCCGAAAGCAAATCTGCCTTTATCTTGTTCGTCTATATTGCATTCTGGCAACCTAGCTGATGTCTCATGTTTAAAAACCTATACGAGAGGCTTACGGGCTGGAATAAATGATGTGTACTCAATCAGTCTGTATAACAGTACCAACTTTTTTTCATTGATCTCCACATATATTGAGGTCACTTCTGCCGTGAATTTAAAAAATTTTCATTCCTTAAATGGTCCAGACATTTAATAATCCTCTTTATCAGTTGAAATTAACACCGCTGTGCGCAGTTCAAACTCTGTTGTTGCTCTTGCGCTTAAACAACTGAATTAAAGCCGTAGAATAACACTAACCAAACTGAGACAAGGTAAGGGTGGATTATCGGATGAAAAGTAACTTTTTCAGCTATGCGCACATTGGGCAGGATTTCAACAACACATGAGACAAAAGCGATTCTAGCATTTATGTCTGTCTGCACAATGTTATCGCTTTAGATTACAGAACCGCAGCACTGATATTGGTAAACCTCCCTGTTCCACTTGTTGATCAGCTGTGTTGGATAAATTCCTCATAACTTTTATCTCCGGGCACTAAGGAAGAGATCACCGTTAGTGGCTGTATCGCATGCAGTAGCATTCGCGTGACAAAGCCCACTTTCCCAGCTACTCATCAGAACAAATTCCTCGACTCAATCTAGGTCATTAGGATATAGAGAGATATCTTGAACTATGCCTCACCTGTAGAATCAAACCTTCGTATGTACTAATGTCAGCACCATTTCGGAGAAGAATGTTGAACAGTATAGATAAATATGACGTAGTGTGAGATAACTAGCAATACATCTTCCATCGCCGCTTCTCCTTTCGGGTCGCGGAGGCAGACGCGTCAGACATTGCTTCCAACGTTCCC